GAAAAGGTTTCTGCACTACTTTGATGTGACTTGAGTGCCAGAGAGAGGAAAGTCGCACTGGAAACAGAATCTAATTTGTAATCCTTTCCAACCGCTCCGTTTCCGCCACCCCCCTCTGCCAATCCCTCCAATGGCTTCCGATTGCGCAACGGATCAAATTCAAAATCCTAACACTGACGTACAAAGCCGTCCACCATACTGCCCCGAACTACATCACTGACCTAATATCCAAGTACCACCCAACACGCACACTCCGCTCCTCACAAGACCTCCTTCTCTCTAGTTCCCTGGTCTCCTCCTCCCATGCCCGCCTCCAGGATTCTCCAGGGTGTCACCCATCCTCTGGAACTCCCTGCCCCAACCCATCAGATTATCACCTACTCTCCTCTCCTTTAGGCGTACCCTGAAAACCCATCTCTTCAGGGAAGCCTACCCCACCCCCTGCTAACTTGCCGACCTCCTCCACTCTTCCTACCACCCATCCCCCACAGCTATCTCCTCCTGTGCCACCATCCCCTCCCTCCTAGATTGTAAGCTCCAAGGAGCAGGGCCCTCGATCCCCTCATGTTTTGCATTGTATTGGTATTGTTCTGTTACATGTTCTGTCCCCCCCTGTAATGTACAGCGCTGAGCGAACTATTGGCGCTTTATAAATACTGTATAATAATAATAATAATAATAATCCAGGGAATAATCTGTATCCTTGTAAACTGGATCCATTAGGGATGCACCGATATCGTACTTTTGAAAATGCTCCTGAAACGGATACTTTGTGGTGCGATTTGCGTCCAAACAAAATGTATGAACACAAATTTCACTGCAAATTATAGCGTGTGATTCCTGTCCAAATTACATGCTGGTTCTCCACTGGTCCTGTGTTTACCCAGTCTTGTCATAGTCTTGAGTTCACACAGGAGTAGTGCAGGAAACCTCCCTGAACCGATCCCATGCTTTTCACACAAGGAAAAGCTGCTTCACAGGTCGGCTTTCTCTCTTCTCCTTGCAGGGATGACAGTATGGGCTAGTGCGTACGGTCTGCCCTGCAAGGAGAGGAGAGAAAGCCGTAATTTTCCTTGTGTGACAGAATGGGATCGGTTCAGGGAGGTTTCCCGCACTGCTCCTGTGTGAGCTCAGTGGCCTGGGTTCACACAGGACCAATGGGGAAACTGCATGCGATTGGGGGGCAGGAATCGCACAACATTCCTGTTCAAATCACATGCTATTCTTTGCGGTGCGATTTGCGTCCGTACATTGGTATGGATGCAAATCGCACCGCAAAGTATCAGTACTCGATATCGGCGAGTACTTGACCTAAAGTATCAGTACTACTACTCCCTGATTTTAAAAAAAGGGTATTGGTGCATCCCTACTTTCTAGTCACTTAATCACTATCACAGAAATCTCAGGTAATATGTCCTTAAGGCGGCTAGGTTCACACTGATGTGGTGTGAGTTTGCAGTTTTGAAGTGCTATTCAGCTGTGGTTTGACTGTGATTCCCAATGCATCTATTAAGCGATTTTTATGCAGGTGCAATTTGGATTCCGATATCTTTTTTTTTTTTTTTTTTTCTCTCTGATGAGCTTTTCACATGCAGTTTCCATTCAACTCTGTGGAGCTCAAAATTGGATTGCACTGCTCCAAACTAACACACGACCCTTTTTAAAAATGCAATTTGTGTGAACTGCATGTATGTGAATGCCCTCTGTAGGAAATTTTTTTTTTTTTTTTCCCATGTCATACAAATCACAGTGGTCTAAAACACACCCAAAACCGCGTCTGTGTAAACCAGGGCCAAAATCCGATCTTGTATACGATAATTCTTTCACGTTTACAAAAATTATTTTCATTGTCATCTTCTTCCGGGTTGTACTTTGTTTCCAAGTATGCGCAGTCTTGCTTGGTCAGTTTTTTCAGGTTGAATATTGCACTAATTAAATGAAAAATCATTTGTTCTAGTAACTAACAAGAAACATTTTCCAATGTGTCCCTTTGGGAATTTGTGAACCGTCAACATCGGCTCTGGAAAGCAGTACTGTATACTAATGAACAGAAAATCAAACGATCGTTCCGAATACAGATATTTTCTAATAATGTGTACTAGGCCTAAAATAGCTCCCACGACCCTTCTAAAAAATAAAAAAATAATAATTTTGATAGACTTTAACTGATGTCCTAGCCCATGGATGTAAATGTTAGAGTGGCTGAAGGGGCTAGCGGTTTATCCACAATGCTAGGTTAACCCCCCCGAATATTGGCAGAAAAAATGGCCAGTTCAGAAGGAACCGGCCAACTTTTGGCCCAAATGTACAGCTGTCTGTTCTACATAAGTTGATCTCATGAGATGCTGGAAAACCAGCATCCAACCCACATCCAATCCATGCTGGCAGCCAGTGGCTGTGGGCGCTGAGCAGTGTATTCTGGCGGAACAAAGGCACAGCACAGGAGATCGCTGCACTAACATTGCTTGTGTTAGTACAGCGATCTCTCTATTTTTTTTTTTGAATTCAACACTGAGTTGAATGGAAAAAAAACTTCTAATGTGTACTGGGCTTAAAGTGTTATTAAACCCAGAACCCTGTATTCACTATATCCGCTCTTCCCGGACCCTGTATTCACTATATCTGGTCTCCCCGGACTCTGCATTCACTATATCTGATCTCCCACAGTACACACAACATGGAAATGCAATTATTTTAGTAAATATAAACTGCTAAATAGATTTTCTCATCATCAGCAGTATATAGCAATCTTGTGACTTCTATCAGTGTCCAGCTGAGCACTGGTTAAAGCTTGTAGGAGGAGTTTTCATTCTCCCCTAACTTTCCTATGAGGCTGCATAATCCTTGAACCTCTGTCTGGGCAGTGCTGATTGGCCCTGTGCTGATCACATGCACCCTACTAAAGAAAAAATCTCTAGCAATACACACTAAACTGGGCATATGCAGAGTGACTCCTAGAGCTCTGTTCTATCAGCAGATGGATGGGGGGACAGTAGAAGGGGAGGATCAGACAATACAGGATCAAAGAGCCTTTTTACACAATGCAGAGGATTAACCTCTTAGATTCCGCAGTGAGTATAACAAGCATGCTTTACTGCATCTACAGACTGATTGTACTGTTGTGGGTTTAGTAACTTTAAAGGATCCACGTCATTCACTCAGATTTCTGTGAATGAGAGAACTACAACTACCATCAGCCATTGGGGCTGCCGGCTTGTAATTCCTAAGAAATTACCAGGGTGCTGGTTTCTAGTAGTTAATTGATCCTTCCTGCCTTCATTATCTGCCTTGCCCGTACAAGGCATCGGCAGACAGCTGAATGAGTTTGCAATGTTTTACAGGCACATTAAAAGAAAAAAAAAGGGAAAGCCATCCTTTTCCCAAGGCCTGTGCATGTCCAGGGTGCACTCTCACTTGATAGCTCAGTGGCTGCGTGAGGGGGGGAGAGTGAGCGAGCACAACGTGCAACGGCGATCTCTCATGTATTGCTAGGGGGCGTTTCTCGTAACATAGGGGTAGGCAACCTGCGGCTCTCTAGCTGTTGTGGAACTATATTTCCCATGAGACATTGCAAAGATTACAAAACTGACAGTTACTGCTATGACTTGCAGAGGCATGATGGAACTTGTAGTCCTGCGACTCTCAGGCTGCCTACCCCTGGCCTAACAGAAGCTCCGCCCTACAGGACAGGATGGAGCTGTGTGAAGCAGTGACAGTTTTTCAGGCAGGTTTCTAAATTCATGAATATGGCCCACAGGTATGTCACCAGAGGAAGAGGTATGTTGTATGATCTGATCAGCATAGAGTGCTGCTATGGTGTAATGTAAATACATGGTGGGATTTGTTTTGTAGGTGAATTAACCCTTTAAAAAAAAGCCACAAAAATAAACACAAATGTGACCCAAATTCATCATAGCTACCCTGTAAAGAGCACTTTCTGTATACTGTGTCTTGCCTCTGTTCTGATTTAAATACCTCAAAACTGATTAGAAATCCTGTGCTTATCTTCCGCCGCTATTCACAGAGGAAGTCGGCCTAGGAGATGAAAGATTGCATTTTGTTTTAAAATTCCAAACCAGCAGTTTTATCTCTTTTCAGGACTAGGTCTCCTCTGCACCCCCTGCATTCAGATAAGGGAGCGAAGGAAAGCAAAGGCTCCATAATCAACAATTTCTGAACATTTCCTCCACAGACCTAAAACCTCAGCCTGAGAAATGTGCAGTTTTGAGCCAATCGGTGTTCTAAGAAAAAACTGAATTTTAAGTAAAGCAATCCTACCAAAAACATCACCAGAAAAATACAAACTTCGGACTGGGACTGTGTGACTGTATTCCGGGTGTAAACGTGGTCTCCTTTGTGGTCATAAGATGATCAGATGATTGCACATGTGTATGCCGGGGTGCATGTGTGTGCCAGAGAAAGTAATATGTGTTCATGAAATAATTACCAATGCTAAACTGACCACAGATTCCTGTAGAAGCAGCGATTTCTTTATTTATTTTAAGCCAGTGTGAATGGAGCCTTAGGCCGGCCATACATGGGTTGATTTCCGAACATTTTTTAGTTCAAAAATCGGATCTAAGAATAATCGACCGATTTTTGCTCTTAGTGGGGCAATGGCAATGGATTTTTGTGGTTCCTCCCCATTTCATTTATTGGGCATGTTGGAAAATTCATGAAAAACGATCGATTTTTGAAATCATTGGTGGCACCATCGGATTACAGAACGAACAACGTTTTTGATTTTCGATCGAAAAATCATTCGGAATTTGACCCATGTATGGCCTGCTTTAGAGGAGTTTAAATTTTTAAATATAACCTAGTAATGGTGATGTCTTACCCTAGGTGGTGCCACTGCGGATCTGCACTAAAATCGTGTACCCGCACAGAGAAATGCGGACCCGCGGGCGGGTGACATTAGTTCTAATGGCACGCCGTCTGCACTGGAAAATGCAACCGTACTGGGAACCTCGGGCTGCGTTTTCCAAAGAAGTGCAGGGACTTCTTTCCCTGCGTGTCACAGGCATGGGAGTCCATTCAAATGAAGGGGCTCTCGTGTCCGTGCAAAATATGGCCCGCACGGCTGCATAGATGTGAACCAGGGGTTAGACTGGAAGCACTGCTAACATGCCAATTACAGGGAACTCCAAAACCAGCTAACTGGAGTCATTTGTTGCATATGGGCAGCACAGTAGCTAAATGGTTAGCACTTCTACCTGGCAGTACTCGGGTCGTTGGTTCGAATCCCAGCCACGGCACCACCTGCCTGGAGTTTGCATGTTCTCCCTGTGCCTGTGTGGGTTTCCTCCGGGTACTCCAGTTTCCTCCCACGCTCCAAAGACATGCTGGTAGGTGAATTGGCTCCTGTCTAAATTGTCCCTAGTATGTGTATGTATGAATGTGAGTTAGGGACCTTAGATTGTACACCCCTTGAGGGTTAGGGACTGATTAGTGATGTGAATGTACAATATGTATGTAATGCGCTGCGTAAATTGACGGCGCTATATAAGTACCTGAAACAAATAAAATAAATATAATGTGCAAATGAAAGGATTTATATAGTCACAGCATTCATTTTCATTTCGTGCAATTAGTACTGCCTGCCTGATAGCCATCTCTTTCCATAAGTTCCTGGGTTCCCTGTATGGTTTGCAGCTTCTCCTCCGCAATTGAAAGCGATGGTAAAGTCCGGGGTAAAAAAAAAAAAACTAAACACTTCCCCCTGCAAGTCCAGGGCATAGCGTGCTAAGTCCCTTATTATCTCACCTCTGGACTACTGCAACTCCCTTCTCACCGGCCTACCTCATCACAGGCTATCCCCGCTTCAGTCTATCCTGAACTCAGCGGCCAGACTCATCCACCTTACCAACCACTCCGTATCCGCCACCCCCCTCTTGTCATTCCCTCCACTGGCTCCACCCCCCCTCTGTCATTCCCTCCACTGGCTCCACCTCCCTCTGTCATTCCCTCCACTGGCTCCACCCCCCTCTGTCATTCCCTCCACTGGCTCCACCCCCCTCTGTCATTCCCTCCACTGGCTCCACCCCCCTCTGTCATTCCCTCCACTGGCTCCACCCCCCTCTGTCATTCCCTCCACTGGCTCCCGATTGCCCAACGCATTAAATTCAAACTACTAACACTGACATACAAAGCCATTCATAACGCTGCCCCAAACTACCTCACCAACCTGATACCCAAATACCACCCAACCTGTAATATTCACTCCTCACAAGACCTCCTACTCTCCAGTTCCCTGGTCTCCTCCTCCCACGCCCGACTGCAGGACCTCTCCAGGACTTCCCCCATCCTCTGGAACTCACTACCCCAATCCATCAGACTGTCACCTACCCTCCTCACCTTTAGGCGCACCCTGAAGACCCACCTCTTCAGGAAGCCTACCCCAACCTCACCTAACAGCCGATCTCCTCCACTCCTCCTACCACTCCATCCCCCACAGCCACTTCCTCCTGTACCACTATCCCCTCCCTCCTAGACTGTAAGCTCGAAAGAGCAGGACCCTTGAACCCGTCATGTTTTGTTACTATATTGTCTCATGTACTGTCCCCCACTATAATGTACAGTGCTGAGCAAACCTTTTAGCGCTATATAAATACTGTATAATAATAATAATAATAATAATGTGCTGGGTCCGGGGCATAGCGGGCTGGTATGGATACTAACACACAATGAAAAATCAACTGACGCTCCTGGCAGGACTTTCATCATCACCTGCTCTTCCTTCCGGGTTCGCGGGCTCCGGTCGTTTGAATGGTTAAGTCCAGTGATGTCACTCCCATGCATGCGCACGCAAGCAATGATTGCAGCACAGCTTTCTGAAGGGATGGCTTTTTCAATATGCTGTTCCTTCAGAGCTCAGTGCACATGTGCCAGTGACATCACCAGCTATGGTGAATATCTCACTGATTAGGAGATATTCCTGTTACCTATAGGTGAGCTTTATTATCAGAGTACCTGTAGGTACAAGTCACCAAGCAGTGTTTACTACCACTTTCATTTCAATTTCAAAGGACTACATATCCCATGGTGCCTTGCTGCCTGCAAGCAGTGAATACGTTTCCAAACTTCAAGATGGTTCAGACTAATAGGAGTAGGCTAGAAATGATTGAAATACGGTGTGGAAATGAAGATACGATTTTAAATGTTGATTGTAGGTATGCTTTACCTGGCTTTAGGGCCAGTTCACACTACAGATATGTGTTTGCTTACAGTGCACAACACATGCAGTTCCGTTGCAGTTTTTTTTGCAGTTTGTGATGTTCCAGAACAGTTCTGTAGAAAAAAATGCAGCATGTTCTCTTTTTTTTTTTTTTTTTTTTTTTTTTTTTTGTGCATCGGAAACTGACTGGAACTGACTGCACTGGTGTGAACCAGGATCATTGGAATACATGGAAAACACTGTGCTTGCATCTTTCATGCAGAAAAAGAGCGCACTGAACTGCAACTAGTGTGAACAAGCCCTTAGGGCCGGTTCACACTATAGAAACGCAGTCCAGATGTTGACTTGTTTTTGGCGTGTTCTGGTATGTTTTTTTTTTTTTTTTTATGTGTTTTTGATGTGTTCCAGTGCGTTTTTTATGCATTCCCGTTAATTTTTTTCCCCCTTTTTTCTTCAATTTAAATAGGGATAGTGCAGTTTTGATGCGTTTTGCCGTGTTCCAGTACATTTCTCTGCAGGAAAAATGCAGCATGTTATACTTTTTTTTTTTTTTTTTTCTGCATCTGGAACGGCAAGCACTGATGTGAACTATGACATTGACAACCACATAACCTACTTTCAGTGTGTTTTTGGATGCAGAAAAAAAGCAACTGAAACGCATGTAGTGTGAACCGGCCCTTAAAGTAGTATACCTGTCGATAGGGAATTACCGGGGCTTCTGTTGCTGGCCTCCTGCAAATACCAGCTGCCTGGCTTCAGCACTTTTGAAATTGTGTTTTAAGAACAAATATTGTTTTCATTCCAGAAACGTTCTGAAATAAGGTACTTCGGTCTTGGTGAACGCTAATAAATCAAGACAAATATTTAAATGTGTAACAAGTGTAAAGTAAAAGCAGGAAGATAAATAACACTTTAATACACCAGTTTGTTTATTGCGCTCAACAACTGCACATAAAAAGCAGCAGGATGCTCTATAAAATGCAAGATTCTCTATGATAAAGTGCAGTATTATCAATCCTAAATGGCAGCGATGCCCAGAAAGAAGTAATAGTAATAACAGCAGCAATAATTCAGGGTGATGCAGAATTAGTCAGTCTTGTAACATCGGGAAAAGCTCTGCCGGGTGGTTGGAGCTCCTTGTGCTGCATAACCTCTGACATGAAGGGAGGGGGACGAATGGTCCATAAGCGGGATGGGCAGAGTCCCACATAACACCAACGGCCATCTTCCCTCACCTTGTGTTGTATATATTAGTGATGGGGGGCAGATTGATGCCAATATTTCTCTGGGCAATCTTTACCACCCCCCACTGCAGTGCCTGTCCACAGCAGAGCAATTATCCTACTAAGCAGTAATGCAATAAGTGAGGATGCTCTCTGCCATACACCTATGAAAGGAGACGAGGATGGAAGTATCAAGGCCAGCGGGTCCATTCACACCAGCCACTGCTTTGTAACGCAGGGGCTGGTATGTGGTGCAGTCCGGCAGAATCACCGCACCTTTTCTTGTCTTTCTTTTTTTTTTTAGTCTGACTTTTCTTTCCCTCTTTTGCTTTCTTTTCCTCGTTTGGCTTTCTTTTCCTCGTTTGCTTTCTTTTCCTCTTTCGCTTTCTTTTCCTCTTTCGCTTTCTTTTCCTCTTTCGCTTTCTTTTCCTCTTTCGCTCTCCTCTTTCCTCCTCTGTCGCTCCCTTTTCCTCTGTCGCTCCCTTTTCCTCTTTCGCTCCCTTTTCCTCTTTCGCTCCCTTTTCCTCTTTCGCTCCCTTTTCCTCTTTCGCTCCCTTTTCCTCTTTCGCTCCCTTTCCCTCTTTCGCTCCCTTTCCCTCTTTCGCTCCCTTTCCCTCTTTCGCTCCCTTTCCCTCTTTCGCTCCCTTTTCCTCTTTCGCTCCCTTTCCCTCTTTCGCTCCCTTTCCCTTTTTCTTTTGCTCCCTTTTCCTCTTTTTGCTCCCTTTTCCTCTTTCGCTCCCTTTCCCTTTTCTTCTTTCGCTTTCTTTTCCTCTTTCGCTCCCTTTTCCTCTTTCGCTCCCTTTTCCTCTTTCGCTCCCTTTTCCTCTTTCGCTCCCTTTTCCTCTTTCGCTCCCTTTTCCTCTTTCGCTCCCCCTTTTCCTCTTTCGCTCCCTTTTCCTCTTTCGCTCCCTTTTCCTCTTTCGCTTTCTCTTTCTTTTCCTCGTTAGGCTTTCCTTTCCTCTCCTGCTCTCTTTTCCTCTTTCGCTTTCTCTTTCTTTTCTTTTTCTTGTCTTTCCTTTCTTTTTCCACTATCTTTTCCTCTTTCGCTCCCTTTCCCTCTTTCGCTCCCTTTCCCTCTTTCGCTCCCTTTCCCTTTTCTTCTTTTGCTCCCTTTTCCTCTTTTGCTCCCTTTTCCTCTTTCGCTCCCTTTCCCTTTTCTTCTTTCGCTTTCTTTTCCTCTTTCGCTCCCTTTTCCTCTTTCGCTCCCTTTTCCTCTTTCGCTCCCTTTTCCTCTTTCGCTCCCTTTTCCTCTTTCGCTCCCTTTTCCTCTTTCGCTCCCTTTTCCTCTTTCGCTCCCTTTTCCTCTTTCGCTTTCTCTTTCTTTTCCTCGTTAGGCTTTCCTTTCCTCTCCTGCTCTCTTTTCCTCTTTCGCTTTCTCTTTCTTTTCTTTTTCTTGTCTTTCCTTTCTTTTTCCACTATCTTTTCCTCTTTCGCTCCCTTTTCCTCTTTCGCTCCCTTTCCCTCTTTCGCTCCCTTTCCCTTTTCCTCTTTTGCTCCCTTTTCCTCTGTCGCTCCCTTTTCCTCTGTCGCTCCCTTTTCCTCTTTCCTCTTTCGCTCCCTTTTCCTCTTTCGCTCCCCTCCCTTTTCCTCTTTCGCTCCC